TGCTTTCCCACTTTCCCTCTCCCTTTCTCTCTGGCTCTCTGCCTCTTTCTGGCATGTGCCCTCTGGCAAATTAAAAACAAATTGCGTTAGCTAAGATTCTTTTGGTCACAAACAACAGAAACCAACTCTGGCAGGCTAAATAGTGGTACAGTGATGACGTTCCGCAGTCTGGACCCAGATGGGAGGATCCTGGGTATCCTTGGGGCTTATATGTGTTAAGTGTATACATGTGCTTGTAGTCAGGGTTGGCTGAGACTGGGGACAGATTGTGGCATGAGGACCCTGTTGGGGGTGCCCCTCCCTCTCTGACTGAAGAAATAAACAAACTTAAAAAAGGAACCAACTCCATATCTTGAATCAAGAGGGCACTTCATTTGAAAGACAAAGAGTATTTTTAGAACTGAAGGATGTGTGGGGCAACCAAGACACAGGAAGGGAGTGAAACAGAGCTACCTCTGTGAATATTGGTAGGAGCTGTGTATGGACCAACAGGCAATGGCTGTTAATCTGACTTAGCTCCAGCACCACCATGACATCTGTCAGGGGTCCCTAACATTTGGAGATTTGCCAGGAGCACTCATGGCCCTGAGTATATGGTTGTCTTTATACTCATAAGTAAGATTCGTAACAGTGATTGGTTGAGGACCCATGGCTGAACCATAATGGAAAAGGAACAGGAAAAGCCTGGAGGAACCCTTCTGCAGATTTCCTGTGTGCTTTCTCTCCATGGGAGGTGACAGAGAATACAATTTCCTTAAAGAAATAAAAACACAGCAGCACATGTGTTTCTGCCTGGGAAAGCCCATTAGAGACTTGGTACCCAAGGTTTTTATCTGCAACTGTTCACGTAAGTGCCCTTGGCATGTACCCAAATTCCAAACTCCCAGAAGGAAAGGAGGTTTTTGGTATGATCCATATTGTCTACACAAGTAGTCTAGACACACAGGACCACCATAATCAGTTAGGGAAAGGTATAAACATTCCAACTTGAAATCTAAGTTCTCAGATGCCAGCCTGGCAAGCAGGTTTTTCTAAGGGTAGCAGTTCCTGGCTAATTTTTTACCCTCTGAATCCAAGTCTCAAATTCAGGATTGACCAGCCCCAGTAACCCTACGGCAACACAGTTCTCTGTGACACTCAGAACATGGGAAGGTCCAGGGTTTGCAACCTGAGGCTTCCCTGTTTATGCCGGATGGATGCATGTTTGCTCATGATTATGGCTTGAAAATGCTGTTTGGGGTGTCCCTTTCTCTCTGACTTGGTCTCTGTCTCCCTGTCTCATGGAAAAAAGAAATAAGTGAATTAAAAAAAATTGGGGCCAGCAGGTGGCAATCTTCCTTTTCCCTATCCCATTAGTATTGTGAGCATATACACACCTGCCTGGCATGTTTTTCAAGCTCACAGGGCCAGGATTCAAACTGTGTAGGCCATGTGAACTGGCTTTCTGTGCTCAGCATGTAACCTTTGCACTATGGTACTGGCTCCAGCAGAAAAAGTTTTTTTTTAGCAGAAGCATTTTTTTTAAATTTAACTTTATTTATTTATTTACTTTAATTTGACCAGATAGGAACAGAGCAAGAGTGAAAGCGAGAGAGAAGGTGAGAAAGCAAGCCACCAGGTCCAGGACTTGAACCACAGTCGGCTATGTGGGAGTCCAGCATCCTTAACCACAACACCACCTGCCAGCCCCAAGCAGAAGCATTTTTTTTTAAAGAGATTTTTGCTGTAGGGTGTATGTTGTCACTAGAGAGAGACAGAAAGACAGAAAGTGAGAAATCACCCCCGGGGGATGGCCACACATAATCCCTTCTCCTCTATTCTCTTCTCGGAATTTTGGGCAAGTACTCACATATGCCTGGCATGAGTTTTAAGCCACCAAGTCCAGAACTCGAACCGCAGTTGGCTACATGAGGGGGTCCAGCGATGTAACCATTTCGCCATCTGCCTGAAACTACAACTTGGTCAGTTATTTTTTTTTCCGAGTTTTTGCTATAGGGCATGTGCACTTGCTGGAGACGAAGACAGAGAGAGAGGGAGGGAAAGTTAGAAAGCACCCCTGGGGTGATGGTCATGCCACAATCCTTTGTCCTACAATTTTCTCTTAAGATTTTGGGCATGTGCATATGTGCCCAGTGTGTTTTCCAAGCTCCTGGGGCCAAACCATACAGTCAACCATGTGGGACCTAGCTGTCTACCTGTCTGGCCCTGAATTTCAAAAAATTTTTGTGCCTTATTAAACTCATATTTTAATTTCATTTTTCCAAAACTCTTTTGAAGTCTTCTTGTATCTGTTTATATACATAAATATACATATAAATGTAAATATGTACACATGCTAATATGCTACATGTACGTATGATGAAATATATATGCTACACATGTGCACACACACGTTCTAACTAAAAGCAGGCTATATATTAATATATTGAGTCATCAGAAAAGTCAACTTATGGGAACCAGCAGTTAGCGTAATGGCTATGTCGCTGGACTCCCACGTAGTCGACCGCGGTTCGTGTCCCGGATCCGGTGGCTTAAAACTCACGCCGGGCGCGTGTGCGTGCGTGCCCAAGATCCCGAGAGGAGAATGGAGGAGAAGGGATTGCGGCGTGACCATCCCCCCTGGGGGGTGATTTCTCGCTTTCTGTCTCTATGTCTCTCTCTGTCTATCTGGCGAGCGCACGCGCCCTACAGTGAAAATCTCTCCAAAAAAAAAAAAAAGAAAAGTCAACTTATTTTTGCATAGAAAAATGTAGAAAAAAAGTCATGACTTTTCTGACAACCCAGTATATTAATATGTATAGTCTTTGTCATTATCTTGACCATTCTACATTATTTTGCAATGCCTTTTGGCAGATGGAGATTAATTAACATTGGCATGACCCCCAGAAGATGGGGGGTTTATAAAGAGAATACTAACAGTAGGAAAATGTCTGTGAAAAAGAAATAGAAATCAACTGTCTTTAGAACCGGAAGGATGTGAGTGTGGGCAACTAAGTAGCTTCACCTTCTACCTGTGTTCTCTGGAGAAAGCCAGTTCCAGTTAAGGTATGTTCAGGAATGTGGGTAAGAATGCTGGAAGGGTTATTTTGTTTTAAAATAATTTATTTATTTTATTATTTAATTTGCTGTAGGGCACTTGCACTCAGCAGAGAGAGGAGAGAGAGAGAGAGAGAGAAAGCCACCAGGTCTGGGACTCAAACCATGGTCAACCATGTGGGAATCCAGCACCTTAATCAACACACCACCTGCTGGCCCCAAATTTCTTTTCTTCTTTTTTTTTTTTTTTTCAATTATTTATTGGGACCAGCAGTTGGCATAATGGCTATGTCGGTGGACTCCCTTTTATGTCGCTGGACTCCCTTGTAGTCGACTGTGGTTTGAGTCCTAGACCTGGTGGCTTAAACTCAAGCCAGGCAAGTGTGCGTGGGTGCCCAAGATCCTGAGAGGAGAATGGAGGAGAAGGGATTGTGACATGGCCATCCCCCCTCTGGGGGGCGGGGGTGATTTCTTCCTTTCTGTCTCTCTGTCTCTCTGTTTTTCTGGCGAGCACATGTGCCCTATAGCAAAAAAACCTTCCCCCCCCAAAATTTATTTTATTTATTATTATTTTTTAAAACTTTGCTATAGGACACATGTGCTCACCAGAGAAAAACAGAGCGATAGATAGAGGGAAAGTGAGAAAGCAAGTCACAAGGTCCAGAACTTTAATCGAAGTTGGCCATGTGGGAGTCCAGTGCCTTAACCACCATGCCACTTGCTGGCCTAGGAGGCTTGTTACTCATGAAAAAGAGTTCCAGAGGTAGCAGTGCAAGGAGCTGGGAGGCAGAAAGGGAAGGGATGAAAACAATTATGTGCAGGTTTGAGGGGAGATGGAGATAATGCCCAGAGCTAGGAGGGGAATCCGCTCTCCTGACTCTGCCGCATGTTCTTTGGGGTAAGCAGGGTCTTTTTGTTCCAACTCTCATGTCATTGTACTAGAGTACCATTGAAAGCCTGGCTGTTGGTGGCATGGTGGTTGAGGCACTAGACAATCACATGGTTTTCAGTGTTTTGAGTCCTGGACCCGGCAGCTTACTTTCTTACTTTCTCTCTCTCTGAGTGTATGTGTTCTGTAGCAAAAAAAAAAAAAAAAAAAAGATAATTAAAATTAAATAAATAATTCTTTTAAAAAAAGAAAGTGTGCACATGCATGTGCACACACATGCAAGAGAAGCGCCCTCAACAGGTATGTGGTCATGTCATGATCCCTTTCCCCAAGCCCTCTAGCTCTTCAGGATCTTGGGTATGTGCATGTGTGTCTTACATGTTTCAGGTTGAGTAGGCTGGGCATCCCAACTTGCATTGCCTTTGTGGCTTCCAGTTCTGCAGTTCAGTACACTATTGACTGTGTCACAGAGGCTAGGCCAAGATAGGAATCCTTGACACTGTCTCACCATATCACAACTCTGCCCCAGGCAGAATTGGACCCAGGTGGATAGGACCATAGGCCCTGCCTTTTTAGGTTGGACTGGGAACCTGGCCTGGGCCTCCTATGTGGCCTCAGTCACCATATGGTAGAACTGTACCACTTACCCCACTGTGGCTGGCCCCATATCTATTTCTTATGTAATATATAAAATCTAAAAATATCTCAGATAACTAGGGAGAAAAGAGGATTCCAATTATGCATAATCTCAGCATTTTAACCACTGTTTTCAATTTGGGGGTTCTCTTATATTATCTACCTATGTGTATAATACTTATTTTTACAAATATACACTTATAGTTCTGTTTCCTTTTTTTCTCCTCTGACTTAGCTATCATGAGATAAATTTAAGGTAAGAAATGTGTTTACCTGAATTCAAATCATCTTTAATCCTGAAAACTCCTGGCAGATGTGGCGGGTAGGAACAGGGAGTTTAAAATGTCTACTGCTGCAACAGTTTCTTTGAAAAGCTTGTTTTTGTGATTTGTGGGCATCTCCTAAACTACTTATATTGTTTTATTTTCCCCTAATTTAGTCGATCATGGCCTTGCCAGATTGGTGACAGTGTATTGTGAGCATGGTCATAAAGCTGCCAAAATCAACCCACTCTTCACTGAACAAGCCGTGCTGGAGAATGTGCCTGAGATTCAAGCTCTTGTGCAGACCCTGCAGGGACCCTTCAATACCACAGGTATGGCTCAGCAGCCATGTGCGAGTGGAGACCTGTGTACATGAGGTGAGAGTTCTCCCTCTATAATTAAAGAACCAGCATGACCATTGAAGCTGAGGCTTCCGTGGGCTGTGAGGAGACAAGGAGAGGCATGTTCAGTTGCTATTAAGGAGGAGCAGTCTTTTTCTTATTTGGAGAGGTTTTTGCTATCAGGTACACATACTCACCAGAAAGACAGAGAGAGACAGAAAGACAAAAAGCAAGAAATCACCCACCAGGGGGGATGGCCATGTTGCAGTCCCTTCTCCTCTATTCTCCTCTCGGGATCTTAGGCACGCACGCACACATGCTCAGAGTAAGTTTAAGCGAACGGGTGCAGGACTTGAACCATGGTTGACTACATAGGAGTCTAGTGACGTAACCATTACATTATCTGCTAGTCCCCAAGGAGGAGCAGTCTTGAGATCCCAGAATGGTCTTCTGAAGAAACCTGTTTTTCCTGTACTCAGAAGCATATTGAGGCCCAGCCATGATGGCACACAGGAAGCACTACCACTTGGGAAGCTGGAAGCTACATGGGAAGCCTGGATTGGTTTTCCCAGCCAAGTCAAACAAACCAGGTGCAGTTACACATACCTGTAATCTGGCTGATTGGAAGGCTAGGGCGGGGCCATCTTGATATAGCAAGGCCCTGTCAGAAATACCTCTGTCTCTGGGACCAGCAGTTAGTGTAGTGGCTATGTCGCTGGACTCCCACATAGTTGACCGCAGTTCGCGTCCCGGACCCAGTGGCTTAAAACTCACGCTGGGCATGTGTGCATGTGTGCCCAAGATCCCAAGAGGAGAATGGAGGAGAAGGGATTGCAGCGTGGCCATCCCCCCGGGGGGTGATTTCTCGCTTTCTGTCTCTCTGTCTCTATCTGTCTGGTGAGCGCATGCGCCCTATAGCAAAAACCTCTACAAAAAAAAAAAAAAAAGAAAAAAGAAATACCGCTGTCTCTTCACCCTCTTCCTTTTCCTACCCGACTCTCTCTCATAAAGGAAAACAGAAACAAACTGCAATGAACACTTGATGAATACCAGATACTTTATGTATATCATGTCACTCTTTCTCAAAACCACTCCCAAAAGTAGCTATCTTCATCTTTATTGTACAGAGAGAGAAACTCTCTTATGACCTAACTCCTAAGCACTTATGGCAGTGGTAGGATGACAACCGAGGTCTACTTCCATTCCAAAGTCACACCCTTATCCTGTTTATTTCCCTAGCCTGGAATATGGAAAAAAAAAAAAGTTGGCCTGGATCATTAATCATAGTCTAGTGGTTCTGCCTCATGTATGCATGTATTTACAATTTTTTTTGGAACTAAAAAAGGATTTTATTTATTGAGGGCAAGAGGACGCAAACAATATAAAAATCAAAAGCTTATCTGGCATTTTATTCGCTTTTCTCTCTCTGCTTGTCAAATGGCAGTTGGACTTTCTTTGTACATTTTCTAAGGGTCCTGCTCCGCTCATGAAATCCTTATACGGGGGAACTGCCAAGTGGATTCCTTAAGTGACCCTGTGGGAGAACTCTTTTCTTTTTTTTCTTGGAAAGGTTTTTGCTATAGGGTGCATGCACTCACCAGAAAGACAGACAGAAAGCAAGAAATCACCCCTCCCAGGGGGGATGGCCGCGCCACAATCCATTCTCCTCTCAGGATCTTGGGCATACACATACATGCACCCAGCATGTGTTTAAGCTGCCGGGTCCTTGCACCGGGGTCGACTACATGGGAGTCTAGCGACATAGCCATTATGCTAACTGCTGGTCCCCTGTAAGAGAACTCTTAAGCAGGATAGGAGTAATCACTCGGTTCTGCCTACTTTTTTCCCTTCTGCTTCATGTGTACTACAAAATAGTCATTGCATACAATGGTCAGGCCTACAATTAGTGAAAAAAAGTTCTGGAAGCCCACTTTGCCATCTTGGCACTGGTCCAGGTCATTATTTTGTCCACAGCCAGAGGATCTTTTTGATTTTCCAAAAATCCTGGGAACTCCTTTTCCATGAGTACTCTTAGGTCCTTCTTTGTCAAGTAGCCTTTATCCCCAGCAAATTTGTGAAGTGGCATCGTGGATTCCATGGCATGCTCTATTTGAGATGGCAGTTTGGTGATATCTGTTGAAACCTTGGCGAGAAGGCAGGCGTGGATGCTGGGCAAGCCCTGAATTTACATTTTAAAAAATAATGATTTAATTTTATTTATTCGTTCATTTATTTTAATTTGACCAGAGAGAGATGGAGAGCAAGTGAGAAAATAAGCCACCAGGTCCAGGACTGGATCTATGGTTGTCCATGTGGGAGTGTCCAGTGCCTTAACCACCATGCCACCTGATGTTCCCTGTATGTATTTACATTTTGCCAGAGGGTGTGTGCATCCACCAAAAAGAGAGAAAGTGAGAGTACCCCTCCATCAAGAATGCTTATGCTGCAGTTCCTCCTCCATTTCTCTCTGCTTTTGAAATTTTGCACCTGCACACACACATGCCTAGCATCCCCGGCAGAAATGCCACACCACAATTCCTTTTCCTCCATTCTTCTCCTGGGATTTTGGGCATGCATGCATATGCACCCAGTATGAGTTTTAACCCACTGGGCCTGGGGCTTGAACTGGAGACAGCTATGTGGGAGTCCAGCCCTTTAATTACCATACCACCATACCACCTTCTGGCCCCTCAGATTCAGCCACCTTTACCACCATTTTTAAAGTTAACCTTGGAAATGTCAAATTCTGGTTATTTGTATCAATTAGTCATTTTCCAGTTATTTACTTAAGTGAAATGAGCCGCTAAAGAAACATAGTGGCTTTTAAAACTCCAACAGTTGGAGGGCCAGCAGGTGGCATGGTGGTTAAGGTGCTGAATTCCCATATTCAAGTCCTAGTTCGAATCCCAGACCTGGCACCTTGAAAATCACAACAAATAAGTAGACAGACAGAAGGACAGAATCACAATAAATAGATAGATAGACAGATAGATAAATAAATAAATGTTAAAAACAAACAAACAGGGGCCTGCAGGTGGTGTGGTAGTGAAGGGCGCTGGACTCCCACATGGCCAACTGTGGTTTGAGTCCCGGATCTGGCAGCTTGCTTCCTCACTTTCCCTCACTGTCCCTCTTTGATAAAATTAAAATAAATAAATAAATAAATAAAGTAAATAAAATAATTCTTTAAAACAAATAAACACTCAACAATCTAAACCTAGCAGAATAGAAACCTTAAAACCCCAACAATAATTTTATTATCTCTCATAGTTCTAGGTGTTGCCTGGGATCAGCCCAACAGTCTCCAGTTGGAGTGTTCCATGTGTTTGCAGCCAGACAATGGCCAGGCTGTCATCTGACTCACTCACTCACAGGTCTTGAGTCTGGGCTTGGAAAACTTAAACTGCTGAGAGCCCAAACATGGCTCCTTGAGCATTTCTGTCTCTGTGTGGCCTCTACCCATGGTTTCTCCAGCTTGGTGCCTTCAGTGCAACCAGAATTTGTAGGTGGTGGCTCAGGATTCTAAAGACGTGTCTTCAGAGAGAGCACCAGAGAGAATCTGTGTGCCACTTTTTATGATGTAACCTTAGGAGTCACATAATGTCATTTCTGGCACACTCGACTATCAGTTCAGAGCAGGGAGTTTCAGGGTTCTGGAAGAACATTCAGGATGGCAAATACAGTTGAGGCTATTTTTGCAATATTCAACCTGAGGGGGGAAGAAACATGTGATATGCCAACATGTGAATGTCTATAAAGACATTTAGTGATCTGCAGGATGTTACATAGGTATTAAGGACAGAAATAGTTGTATGAAAAGTTTACAAGAAGACAACCAAAGTGTGTATGTGTGTGCGTGCATATGTGTATTGTTGTCTTAGTTGATGCCCAAAATACGACGTCTGTGATCATCTGACATCTATGATCATTTCCTGTGATTCTTCTTTCTCTTTTCGCACTATTTTCTCTCCCAATTCTTCACTTTGTCTTATGGAACCCCTATTAAATTGCAAACTTCTCCCCATTCCAGTCCTCAACCCATTCATATAATACTCCATCAATGTTCTTGACTTCAACCTGACTTCTTCCTGAAGTTCCCTGTTCCCCTGTAGCTTTCAAGTAGAGGCTGCCCATTTCCCTTCACTAATGTACTTCAAGCCCTGGTGGAGGAGAAGGTATTTGGGAAGGCTGTATAGCTACTCTCTTTTATCTTCTGGCAGAAATTCCTTCTACTTCTAACTCATACTAGATGACCTTCTTACTGCTGACTCCATTTCATCCCTCATGGACATATATGGTTTCTGGCTCACAATCTTCCTCTCCTTAACAACCCCTGGCTTGGGAGATTAGATATCTTCTTGCAGCACAGTCTTGTCTTTCTTTAATTCCAGACCATGACCTACCCTCCACTCTAGCTGTTGTATCTCTAACATCTTAATTCTAGTAGCCAGTGTTCTTACCATAAGCACTCATCCTTGTAGCTATTTCACTTTACCACACCCACTACCATAGCTTTGAGTTCAACCTGACCCTTGATTCCTTAGCCTCTCCATTTTTTCTAGTTAATCAACCTCTCTGGCTTTGTCACCCTTGCTTCCCAACATCAGCCTTCTCATTTCTACCAATTTCTCTACCACTTCCAACTTTCTGGCATCCTTATCATCTGTAGTACTTGTTCTACAATTCCCAATCAGTACAAGAATGTGACTTTTTCAGGCTTTCTGAACTTAACAGGGCCTAATTGCACAACAGTTCCAGTTGAGCGTTCCAATTCCAGTTCATGGTTTCAGCCTATTCTCTTCTCTTATTTCCACCCAGCAGTTCTTTGACTCATTTTAACATGAACCCCAACCATCCACAGTTACCCTCAACAAATGGCTTAATTTTCTATCTCACTGAGAAAGTGAACTAGGAATGCCTCTCATTCTCTCACTTACAAATTTGCCTAACTCTAGACCCAAACATAACTCTTCTGAAGGAAGAAGCATTTCTTCACTCAGCCCTGGCTAATCCCTCAACCAATCTATGAACCTCACTCCTTTCTGCTTGCTCTGGGTGTACCTCTCTTTTATTCATTTATTGTTTTTTATTTATTTATTTATTTATTTATTTTTTGAGAGGTTTTTGCTATAGGGTGCATGCGTTTGCCAGAAAGACAGAAAGAAACAAAGAGACAGAAACTGAGAAATTACCCCCCAGGGGGATGGCCATGTCACAATCCCTTCTCCTCCATTCTCCTCTCAGGATCTTGGGCACACACACACACACACACACACACACACACACACACACAGCATGAGTTTAAACCACCGGGTCTGGGACGGGCACTCAAACCGTGGTCAACTACATGGGAGTCCAGTGTCACAGCCATTACACCAACTGCTGGTCCCCGTATCTCTCTTTTTAATCTTGCATTATTCTTCATGGACTCTTTCCTCTTAGTATATAAAGAAGTTCACAGGTCTTTCATCTTTAAAATACTTCCTCCAGTTTTCTCCCTTTTTATCTATCATGTTGTATCTGTCCTTACTTTTCCAGTCAAGCTTCTTCTTTTTTTTATTTATTTTTAAAAAAATTATCTATTTATTTATTTATTTACAGCCATTCACTGTACATCAATACAGCATGCAAAATGAGATTTTCCATCCAGTACATTGTATAGTGGCTCAATCAAGGATATTACCACACATGTTATCATCAACCAATAATTTTCTATTTATTGTTTCTTACAAATTTTACTTTATGTTCTCCTCTTGATTTTCCTCCCTTGATTCCTTACCTCTTATCCTCTGCCAACTCTCCCCCTTCTTCCACACTGTCTCTGGTATGTACAGTTGTTTTCCATACCTTTTTTTTTTTCACATTTTATTGATTCACTAAAGATCTTAATTAATTTAAAAACTTTGAGTAGCAAGCACAGCTGATATATACATATTTATAAACACATGTCTGAGTGTAAACTTTAGTGAGTAAAGTGAACATATTATAAAGTAGCACCTTGCTGGGGCTATATAGCTTACTGTAGTCATTAAAATAGGTTTTAGTAGGTATTTTTTTAATATACTTTTTAATTTAAAAAAAGTTTTAATTTTAATAGATCAAAATTTAAAAATGTGGGGAACCAGCAAGTGGCGTTGTGGTTAAGGTTCTGGACGCTTCCACATGGCCGACCATGGTTTGAGTCCTGGACCTGACACCTTCCTTTCTCCCTTTTCCTCTCTCTCTCTCTCTCTCTGTGTGTCTCTCTCTGGTCAAATTAAAATAAATGAATGAATAAATAAAATTAAATAAATGATAATTAAAAAAATTTTTTTAAATGTTAAGAGAAATTTGCTTAAAACTTAAAAGCCAGGAAAAAGGTTAGAATTCAGTTCAAATAGGTAGATGAACCTATCAGCAGTTCAAGAGAAGACAAAAATCCCTAAATATGGAAATCAAAGCAGCAAAGAAAATCAGTATTTAGTCTAAAGTCAAAAAATTCTGTTTCACTAGTTCAGACTCATGTAATTAATCTCTCTTCTATTGAATTTGCAGCGTTACTACGGTCTGATCTTTCCATTTAAACTCTGAAAGTTAGCATTCAACTCTGGACTTGTCCTTACTGTTAGGCTGGCCATTCTCTTGGTTGTTTCTTGTACTCTTATTTCTGTGAGTCTGACTTTAGTTTTCCTGGTATAGCACTCCCTGCAACCCTTCATGGAGAGCTGGTCTGGTGTTGGTAAATTCAGATTTTGTTTATCTGAGAATGTTTTTGTCTTTCTTTTCCCCCTATGGAAGATAATCTTGTTGGGTATAGTATTCTTTGTTGAAATTGTTTTTCACTTGATACAGTGAATATTTTTTCCCATTCTTTCCTTGCTTGCATTGTTTTGAATAAGAGGCCCAACATTAGCCTTATGGGATATCCTTTGAAAGTAACTTGACGATTCTCTCTTGCCAATTTCAGTATCTTGTCTTTGTCTGTGGTCTTGGTCAATCTGGCTATGATGTGCCTCCGGGAATATCTTCTTGGATTGATTCTATGTGGAGTCCTTTGTATTTCTTGGGTCTGGTTATTTGAGTGCCTCTCTAGGTTTAGAAAGTTTTCTTCCAGGATTTCATGGAATAAATGATCAGTACCCTTAGTAGTTTCTTTACCTCCTGGGATACCGATAATCCAGACGATTGGGTGTTTAGTGGTATCTAGTAGTACTTATATGTTATTCTTATTTTTTCGGGTTATTTCCTCAGTCTTTTTGGTAAATTTTTCTAGGTCAGAGATTCTATCTATATCTAAGATTCGATCTCCTGCATGATCTAAGCTGCTTTTGATACTTTCAACGGAAGTTTTGATTTCCTGTATTACAACCTTCGTCTCTAATGATTCCATTTGATTCTTTTTTATGATGTATATCTCCTCTTTCAAATCGTGCAAAAACTTCCTGACTTCCTGGTACTCAGTGTCTCTTTTCTCCTGCATCCTCTGGAGTTTGTTGTCTCTCCTCTCTTGTATCTCTGTTAGCTTTGTCACTGTGAATATTTTAAATTCTTTATCTGACATTTCCATGAATTCCCTTGTATTTTTTTGTGGAGGAAGAGGAGTTATTCTTTTCCATTTGAGGAGAAACGTTTTCTTTGTTTCTCTTATTTCTTGTGCCTCTGCAGTGATTTCTGGTCATCTGATGGATTGTACTTTTTTTTTCCCTATTTTTTGGAATTAAATCTGAGCAATCAGAGGAATGCAGAAGAAGATGACCTGCAGTCTGTAGACAGTACCACTTTTCTCCCTTTGCACAACTGATTCAAAGAAAATTGAGGATTAATCTGACCCTAAAAGTATTCAGATACTTGGCTACTAAGCACCTAGACCTGTCTAGAAAATCAATGTATGAAGGCTGAACAGAAAAGTGAGAAAGATAAAAAGAAAAGGAAAAGGAATATTAAAAAAACAATGAAAAAGAAGAAAAACAAACAAATAAAACAAGACAAAAACAATAAGAAACAGAGAAGAAAACATATTTTTTTGTCAAAAAATGAAAACCATGCAGTGCAAATGGAGCTGCTCGGGAACTCAAATATAGATGGCTGCTGATTGGCTTATGCTATGAGGCCAAGGGGAAAGGTAAGAATTAGAAAGACAAAAGAACAGCAAAGAGCTAAGTTTAAAAATTAAAAAAAATAATTAATTAAATAGAGACAGAGAGATTGAGAGAGAGAATAAGTAGGGTGCTTTAACCTGACTCATGGCTAGACTTTGGAGCAGGAGGGTGAAGTCTGGACAGAGGGTCTTCAGTGGTTGAAATCCTCTTCCAGTCAAGCTTCTTGAATAGCCTGTGCTAATTGTCACTACTTCTTTCCTTCCAGTTTCCTTTTTTGTTGTTGTTTTTAGAGATTTTTGCTATGGGGTACATGCTGTTGCCAGAAAGATATAGAGAGGCAGAGAGACAGAAAGTGAGAGATCACCCCCCAAGTGGGATGGCTACGCTGCAATCCCTTCTTCTCCACTCTCCTCTTGGGATCTTGGGTAGGTACACATGTGTCCAGCGTGAGTTTTAAGCTGCCGGGTCCAGGACTCGAACCATGGTTGACTATGTGGGAGTCCAGTGACATAACCCTTAAGCCATCTACTGGCCCCGGGGGAGTTCCTTTTACTCTAAAATGTTACATTGCTACTTATATTCAGGTCTAAATTCATATTAAGACAAATAATACTTACTTTGAGATACTAATAAGTCAAATGTTTTAGTAGATATTTACAGATAAACATAGGATGAATATTTATAATAAAGCGAACAAAAGGTACATTTCAAATTTTAGTTTGTGTTTACCGTAGAATCAGAACTTGTCATAAGGCAGTGGGGCATTGTCCTTGGGAAGAAAGGTTTTTTCCCTCTCTCTTACTTTTACAACTTCATGATCTTTGACTATATGTTTAGTTTTGCTTTTAGAGAAATCTAAATAAACATTGATAATAGGCTAAACTATTTCAGAAACAATGTGTTCTTAATTGAAGTAACTGTTTTGACAGATTCCATAAATAAATTGTTAGATGGTTGATTATTGTTTTAAATAATCCCTTTGATTGTATTTCATAGGATTATTGAACATGGGGAAGGAAGAGGCATCTCTTGAAGAAGTAATAGCCTATCTCAACCAAATCTACTGTGGACATATTTCTATTGAAACCTTACAGCTTCAGAACCAAGAAGAGAAAGATTGGTTCGCCAGGCGATTTGAGGAACTGAAAAAAGAGACATTTACTACAGAAGAGCGAAAACATCTATCAAAACTCATGCTAGAATCTCAGGTATAGGGGCCAGCAGGTGGTGTGGTGGTTAAGGGCGTTGGGCTCCAATGTGGCTAACTGTGGTTCAAGTCCCAGACCTGGTGGCTTGTTTTCTCACTTTCCCTCTCTCTTTCTGTCCCTCTCTATTCAAATTACAATAAATAAAGTTAAATAAAATAATTCTTTAAAGGAAAAAAAGAATCTCAGGTATAAAACTAGTAGCGAATGTCAATGGGATGGATCAACTTATTTCCGACAAGGATTGATACTTATTAAGGAGAGAGAATGAAGGCATTAACTGTCATAACTTCTCTCACTTACATCAACTCAGCCTGATAGACAATGAACACACACATTATCACCAGTAGAAAAAAAAAATAGATTGCCAAATAGTTGAGCTATTGTTTCTCCTTAAAGTCAAAATACTTTTTGTGTATTTGTCTACTCTATGAAAGATTTCAAAATTCTTGAGATCTTCCCTTTTTATTACCTGAAGTGATTGAAATACCATGCATGGAGGAGGATCTCAGGACACATTAATGAAACCTAATCTTCATCAGGGCCACAATCAGGGCTCAGGCATATCAGTAGTTTGGATAGTTGGATAGTTCACAGTCTTGAATAAATACTGAGTTGTCTGAAAAATCATGATGCATTTTTGCATAGAAAACTAGAAAAATACATTATGACTTTTCCAGTGACCAAGTATGAGGGCTTTTGTAGCCCTCTACAAAAACTAATGTACTGGGAGAGGCAGCAGAAATCTTTTTTATTTTGGGGCCAGCAGGTGACATGATGATTAAGGGTGCTGGATTCCCACATGGCTGACCATGGTTTGAATCCCAGACCTGGCAGCTTGCTCTCTCACTTTCCCCCTCTTCCTCTCTCTGACTCGGTCCCTCTCTGGTCAAATTAAAATAAATAAAAAATAAAGTTACATAAAATAATTCCTTTTTTTTTGGAGAGGTTTTTGCTATAGGACATGTGTGCTGGCCAGAAAGACTGAGAGAGACAGAGAAACAGAAAGTGAGAAATCACCCTGTGGGGGGCTGGCCACGCCGCAATACCTTCTCCTCCATTCTTGTCTCAGGACCCTGGCACGCATGCACACATGCCCGGCATGAGTTTAAACCGCCGAGTCTAGGACTGGAACCGTGGTCGACTACATGGGAGTCCAGTGACATAGCCATTATGCCAACTGCTGGTCCTCATAAAATCATTCTTTAAAAAGAAAAAAAGAAAATTATTTTCTTTTAATTTGTCAATGGGTGCATACACTCGCTGGAGAGAGGCAGAGTGTATGAGAGAAAATGAGAAAACACCACCCATGAGGTATAATCACGCTATAATCCCTTGTCTTCCATTTCTCCCTTTGGGATTTTAGACACATGCACTTAATGTGTTTTTCTAGCCACCAGGTCCAGGACATGAACCATGCTGTTGCTCACTTGAAATCTAGTTGTTTTGACCATCACACTACCAGCACGCTCATACAACAGAGATCTAAGGCCTGGCCCTTTAGTCTAGAAGAATGCACATTCTAGGGGGAAGTTCCTCTTGGAATAAGTCATTCTATCATTGTGATCATTCTCTTCGCAGCCCCTACAGAGGTCCAGGGTCTTTGGCAGAACTTTTGTGGCATGTTCTTTGTTACTTGTGTCTCTCTTTGGGATGTGTAATGAAGGAGCACTGCTGTGGCTGTCTGAAAACGTGGAGTCTTTTTTTCAACACAAACACTTCTCTGCCTTTCACTTGAATAGTTGGCTATCTTTATGTAACTACTGTATAATGTAATGTTCCATAGGAGTTTGATCACTTTTTGGCCACTAAGTTTGCCACGGTGAAGCGATACGGAGGCGAAGGGGCTGAAAGCATGATGGGCTTTTTCCATGAGTTGTTGAAAATGTCGGCCTACAGTGGAATAACTGATGTCATTATTGGGATGCCGCATAGAGGGAGGCTTAATTTATTGACAGGCCTTCTACAGTTTCCTCCAGAGGTAAGATTACTATCTATGTTTCTCACCAGCACTGTACAATTGACTGTAACAGAATAAAACTGGTGGGGATAATTCCTTTTAGAACGCCAACTAAACATGTGAGCAGTTGGTACAGGAGATAACCTGGTTGTTTGGTAAATAATAGAACTTAAAATTGGCAGATGGAACTGGTATGTAGGTTGATTATCTATGTATTCTTTTTTCTTTTTTTTGGAGAGGTTTTTGCTATAGGGCGCGTGCGCTCACCAGACAGACAGAGTGAGACAGAGAGACAGAAAGCGAGAAATCACCCCCCAGGGGGAATGGCCACGCCGCAATCCCTTCTCCTCCATTCTCCTCTTGGGATCTTGGGCACGCACGCATTTTGGCCACTAAGTTTGCCACGGTGAAGCGATACGGAGGCGAAGGGGCTGAAAGCATGATGGGCTTTTTCCATGAGTTGTTGAAAATGTCGGCCTACAGTGGAATAACTGATGTCATTATTGGGATGCCGCATAGAGGGAGGCTTAATTTATTGACAGGCCTTCTACAGTTTCCTCCAGAGGTAAGATTACTATCTATGTTTCTCACCAGCACTGTACAATTGACTGTAACAGAATAAAACTGGTGGGGATAATTCCTTTTAGAACGCCAACTAAACATGTGAGCAGTTGGTACAGGAGATAACCTGGTTGTTTGGTAAATAATAGAACTTAAAATTGGCAGATGGAACTGGTATGTAGGTTGATTATCTATGTATTCTTTTTTCTTTTTTTTGGAGAGGTTTTTGCTATAGGGCGCGTGCGCTCACCAGACAGACAGAGTGAGACAGAGAGACAGAAAGCGAGAAATCACCCCCCAGGGGGAATGGCCACGCCGCAATCCCTTCTCCTCCATTCTCCTCTTGGGATCTTGGGCACACACGCACACGTGCCCGGCATGAGTTTTAAGCCACTGGGTCTGGGGCGCGAACTGCGGTCAGCTACATGGGAGTCCAGCGACATAACCATTATGCTAACTGCTGGTCCCAATGTATTCTTTTTTCCTCAGTATATTTTTAGATTTCTATTTACTTATTTTATAAAAGGGAGAGGGACGGGCACCCTCGTGAGGGCCTTGCCTTGCCTTGATCCTCTCCTGGCCTCACAAACAGCCAGAGTCACTGGCACATGAGGCTATGCCTGTTGGGTTTCAGTCAGCCTGGGATATTAACCCCTCCCATATGGCTGCAGTATCGTGCAGTGGTTTCCTACTGACTGAACTACCATGTCTAGGCTTGTATATTCGTACATAAATTCCTTCTTCCCTCAGGGAAGCTAACAATAACTTTGTTTCCTCACGGATGATGGGAATTCATAAATTTTGTTCTTTGAAGCATATCTTTTTTATTTTATACAAGTTGTTCATATAAACACAGAAATCTATGCAATTTTATACAATTTTACCTTCCAAAAAGTTGTGGATCCACTTATTTGCAGAGTTTATAGTTAATAGATCACACTAAAATGAATAATGTATTATCTCAAGAGACCACACAAGAAGGTGCTTTTATAAGTAATTATATCTTGGTATCCCTATTCAGTCCCACTCAAAGAGATTTGTAAGTCTCTCAAAAGACTTGAGAATCAGGAATGAAGCTTTATATGAAAGAGAATGTCAGAGAGATCGGATATTTTATAAGGTATGACCAGTTTTCATGGATACACTTTATTACTATTCCAGGCCAGGAGATGGAACATAATTGTAAATGCGAAAGGGCCTGTTGAAGTTAGGTGGCGTGAACAGAGCTCATGGAAGGAGATGTTAGCTTTGAGACCATGAGAAAATGTAGTACAGTTGCAATGATGCACAGATGGTGCTACCAGCTGGGAAGTCGAAAGCTGCATAAGGGGCCTGGGTTCAGTTCCCAGGCCAACCTGAATATGCCAAGCATAATTGTGCGCATCTGTAATCCGGGCTAGTTGGGAGGCAGTGGAAGGAGGATGTGACACAGTGAGACCCCATCAAAAATACTCATCCATGTCTTCTTCCTTCTCTTTCCTAGAGGAGTGAAAAAAGAAACATACATTTGTATGTTGTTTCATGTCTAAAGGCCAAGTTTCCTTTTTAATTTAATTACATTTGTTATTATCATTTCTTTAATGTGACCAGAAAGAGATGCAGAGTCGAGAGAAAGGGAGAAAGCAAGCTGCCAGGTCCAGGATTCAGACTGCAGTTGGCCATATGGGAATGCAGTGCCTTTAACCACCATGTCACCTGCTGGCCCATGTCCAAGTTTTAACATTATTAATCTTCTACCAGTTTATTTATTTATTTATTCATTCATTCATTTTTTTTTGGAGAGGTTTTTGCTATAGGGCGCATGCGCTCACCAGACAGACAGAGACAGACAGACAGAAAGCGAGAAATCACCCTCCAGGGGGGATGGCCACGCCACAGTCCCTTCTCCTCCATTCTCCTCTAGGGATCTTGGGTACGCATGCACACGTGCCCGGTGTGAGTTTTAAGCCACCGGGTTCGGGACGCGAACCGCAGTTGGCTACGTGGGAATCCAGCGACATAGCCATTACGCTAACTGCTGGTCCCCCGGTTTATTTTTTTTAAGAGACTGATATTCAGCTTTCAAAAGACAAGTAACGTTAGAAAAGGTAGACTATAATAGAATAAAAGGATTGACAACTAAAGACTTGTGCTTAAATACATGCAGAAATTCCTAGACCAAAAATTGTGTTCCTAAAATCTCCCAGACAAAAACCCCAAGATGCAGAAGTGATTAAAAATTATGTTTTTGAGAAACTATACACTATAAATATCTATGTTCCTGTTTATCCATAGGTCAGTAAGAAGTTGTTAACCACCGTGCAACTGCTAGCCTCTCTAACAGATGTATTTTTTAAAAAAGAAAGAATTATTTATTTATTATTTATTTTTAATTTGCCACAGGATACGTGTACTCACCAGAGAAAGACACACAGAGAAAGAGAGAGAGAGAGGGAAAGTGGGAAAGCAAGTCGCCAGGTCCAGAACTTGAACTGAGGTCAGCCATGTGGGAGTCTAGCGCCTTAACATCCACACCACCTGTGAGCCCCTAACAAATGGTTTTTTTTTTTTTTAATTTTTTCTTTTCCTTTTTTTTTTTGGAGAGGTTTTTGCTGTAGGGTGTGTGCGCTCGTCAGACAGACAGAGAGAGACAGAGAGACAGAAAGCGAGAAATCACCCGCCAGGGGGGATGGTCATGCCGCAATCCCTTCTCCTCCATTCTCCTCTAGGGATCTTGGGTACGCATGCACACGTGCCCGGTGTGAGTTTTAAGCCACTGGGTCCAGGATGTGAACCTCGGTTGACTACGTGGGAGTCTAGCAACATAGCCATTACGCTAACTGCCAGTCCCCTAAATTTTTTCTTTAATTATTTTATTTATCTTTAACTATTTATTTATTTATTTTTATTTTACCATAGGAGATAGAGTGAGAGAGAAAGTGAGGAAGCAAGCTGCCAGGTCTGGGACTCAAACTGAGGTCAGCCATGTGGGAGTCCAGCACCTTTAACCACCACGCTACCTGCCAGCCTCCCAAATGTATTTTTTTTTAAGAATTATTTTATTGGGACCAGCAGTTAGCGTAATGGCTATGTTGCTGGACTCCCATATAGTCGACTGTGGTTCGAGTCCTGGACCCGGTGGCTTAAACTCACACCGGGCGCGTGTGCATGTGTGCCCAGGATCCTGAGAGGAGAATGGAGGAGAAGGGATTGCGGCGTGGCCATCACTCCTGGGGGATGATTTCTCACTTTTTGCCTCTCTGTCTCTTTCTGTCTGTCTGGCAAGCGCACACGCCCTATAGCAAAAACCTCTCCAAAAAAAAGAATTATTTCATTGAACTTTATTTTATTTATTTATTTATTTATTTTTTATTTATTTATTTTAATTTGACCAGCGAGGGATAGAATGAGAGAGAGAGAGAGAAGGAAAGTAAGAAAGCAAGCCACTGGGTCCGGGACTCACACCATGGTCGGGCATGTGGGAGTTTAGTGCTCTTAGCCACCATGCTACCTACCAGCCCCATGAATGTATTTTTTAAAAGTTACTTTAGGAGAACCAGCAGTTAGCGTAATGGCTATGTCGCTAGACTCCCATGTAGTCGACTGCGGTTCATGTCCCGGACCTGGTGGCTTAAAACTCACGCTGGGCGCGCATGTGTGCGTGCCCAAGATCCCGAGAGGAGAATGGAGGAGAAGGGACTGCCGTGTTACCAACCCCCCTGGGGGGTGATTTCTCGCTTTCTGTCTCTATGTCTCTGTCTGTCTGGTGAGTGCACGCGCCCTACAGCAAAAAAAAAAAAAAAACAACAAAAAAAAAACCTCTCCAAAAAGAAAAAAAGAAAGTTGCTTTAGGTCAAGGCAGTGACATGGTGGTTATGGCAGCTAGATCTGACATGGTCAACTGTGTAGTTTGAGTCCCAGACCTCACAGCTTGAAAAATACATTGAGCACATGTGTGCATGCCCAATTTCCTGAGAAGAAGGAGAGATGGAGGAGAAGGGATTGTGGCATGACCATCCCTTGTGGGGGGTGCTTTCTCACTTTCTCTCTGTGTCTCTTTCACAAGCATACAAGCCCTATGGCACAACAAAAACAAAAGTTGCTTTGCTTATCACAAGGCAGAGTTAATTTATAATTTGCCTCATGTTAGATACCTCTTCATGTGTTGCACGTCATTTAACTTGAAAAATCTATAAATAGTTCTAAGCAATTCCCAATTAGAAATTGTACCTATCTTGGGACCAGCAGTTAGCACAATGGCTATGTTGCTGGACTCCCATGTAGTTGACCATGGTTCTAGTCCCAGACCCGGTGGCTTAAACTCACTCCGGGGACGTGTGCATGCGTGCCCAAGATCCGGAGAGGAGAAGGGATTGTGGTGTGGCCATCCCCCCACAGGAGGTGATTTCTCGCTTTCTGTCTCTCTGTCTCTCTCTGTCTGTCTGGCGAGTACACGCGCCCTATAGAAAAAACAAACAAACAAACAACAACAACAAAAAAAACTCTCCAAAAAAAGAAAAAAAAAAAGTGCCTATCTTTAAGTGATCAGTGCTTATTATAATAGCATTTGTATGAAGTGTTTTCAGTTTCATTTACTTTATTTATGATAGAGAGCATGTGTGTATACAAAAGAGCGAAGCAGCCTTGACAAGGTTTCATCATGTTGCAACTGGCCCTCCTGGTAAGGACCCTGGCCGTGCACATGCACACACACCCCATGTGTTTTCAAGTTGACCAGGGATCTGAGCCTGTAAATGGCCATGTGGTTTCCAGCACTGCAGTTCAGTTTACTACTGAATACACTACCAGGCTTGGCCAAAAAAATTTTTTTTAAGAATTATTTATTGGGGCCAGCAGGTGGCATGGTGGTGTTCAGCGCTGGACTCGCACATAGCTGACCACTATTTGAGTCCTGGACCTGGTGACTTACTTTCCCACCTTCCCTCTCTCTCTCTCTCTGTCCCAACAAACAAACAAACAAACAAATTAATTAATTATTTAAAAAAAGAATTATTTATTTAATTGTATTTGTAATTATTATTTATTTTTTCAAATTGATCAGAGAGAGAGAAAGGGAAAGTGAGAAAGTAAGCAACCGGGTCCGGGACTCGAACCATGGTAGGCCATTTGGCAGTTGAGCACCTCAACTACCACACCACCTGCTAACCCCATAGGTCAAAGTGTTTTAATTCTATGATTTAAACTTCCACCTTTTCTTCTCTAGTCTCTAATGTGGTGAAATACATTTTTTCTTGTATGTTTATTCAAAATAGTTGATGTTCCGTAAAATGCGAGGCCTAAGTGAATTTCCGGACAATTTCTCAGCCACTGGAGATGTCCTGTCTCATCTGACCTCCTCTGTGGACCTGGACTTCGGTGCACACCATCCCCTCCATGTGACAATGCTGCCTAATCCCTCACACCTTGAAGCTGTTAATCCCGTGGCTGTCGGGAAAACTCGTGGCCGGCAGCAGTCTCGACAAGACGGGGATTACTCTCCAGACCATTCTGCTCAGCCTGGGGACAAAGTCATTTGCTTACAGGTACTTGTAATTTTGGAAGGGAAATAACACCAGAAATCAGAAAAGCAAGGAGAAAAAATGTCTGGGTCAGAACATCTGAAAGGACACTGTAAATATTCAAGATGAAGCTGAGATGATCTTTTGGGAAAGGAAAACTTGGGGGTCATTTATAAAACTGACAGCAGAGGAGCCAGGTGACATGGTGGTTTAAGTGGCTGGATCCCACGTGACCAACTGTGTAGTTTGAGTCCCAGACCTGATAATTTGCTTTCTTACTTTCCCTCTCTCTGTCTCTCTATGGTGAATTAAAAAATAATATTAATGATAATAATTAAAATCAAATATTTTTTAAAAATAAATTTTCCTTGGGACCAGTTAGCATAATGGCTATGTGCTGGACTCCCATGTAGTCGACTGCAGTTCGAGTCCCGGACTCAGTGACTTAAACTCACGCCGGGCACGTGTGCATACATGCCCAGGATCCCGAGAGGAGAATGGAGGGAGAAGGAATTGCGGCATGGCCATCCCCCCCGGGAAGTGATTTCTCGCTTTCTGTCTCTCTGTCTCTCTTTGTCTTTCTAGCTAGTGCACATGCCCTGTAGCAAAAACCTCTCTCAAAAAACATTTTTTCCTCTTATACCACCTTGTTTATCAGGTTTTATGATCTAGCAGACTTCAAATGTTCTGGAAGTAATAGCACGTTTTAGACATTCCCTCATAATAATATTTTAATTTTTCTCAAACTGTTTTTGTTCATGTGTGATATGTTTTGGTCCCACACCTCCTTGTCTTTGCTGTCACTTCACTCTCCTTTATGTTCAGAGTGGTGGCAAGGAGTAGGTAATTTGGGCTACATGCTTGCTGTCTCTTTTCAAGGGACAAGATGACTGGGGAGAGGAACAGTTCAGACCTGCTCTTTATTCTCTATGTCTTGCAGGCTGTTTTTCTGTAAGATTTCCTAGAACTAATTTTCTCTTTGTACCTCTACAGTCCTACAGCAGGACCCTCCTATGTCATGCTGTCTACTCTAGAATGTTTGCTTACACAATGAGTGTAGATGATGACATGGGGTGGAAGGAATGGGTCACCTGGTGGTGCTACAAGAGGAAAAGGACTGACTGAATATCTTTGAAGGCTGCTTTTGAGATCAGCCAAACTCTTCTAGGAAAACCTATAACCCACACATTCTTTTTTTTTAAATTAAATTTTATTTATTTGTTATTATTTTTTGTGCTCACCAGAAAGAGAGAGAGAGAGAGCGCATGCCACCAGGTCTGGGGCTCGAACCATGGTCGGCCATGTGGAGTGCAGCACCTTAACCACCACGCTACCTGCTGACCCAACCCACACATTCTTAGAAGGGCTTGGGAATAACAAGAGGGTATTTGTTTTCATTCCCCATAGATTTTTATTTTTTTATTTTTTTGAGAGTTTTTGCCTTAGGGTGTGTGCTTGTGGTAGAGGGGTCAGGAAACAGATATGGTGAGGAAGTGAGAAATCACCCCCGGGGCGGGGTGGCCTCACCTTAATCCCTTCTCCATCATTCTGCCGGAATCTTGTGCACACATGCACATGCAACCGGTGTGATTTTTCAAACCACTGGATCCAGGACTCGAATCATGGTCAGCCATGAGGGAGTTAGGCAATATAACTGCTATGCCATCTGCTGGTCACCCCATTCTTTTGTTTTGTTTTGTTTTGTTTTAGATTTATTTAATTTTATTCATCATCATCATTATTAATTTTAATTTGACCAGAGAGAAATAGAGAAAGGGAGAGGGAAAGTGAGAAAGCAAGCCTCTAGGTCTGGGATGTGAACTGCAGTCGGTTATGTGGGAGTCCAGTGCCTTAACCACCACGCCACCTGCCGGTTCCCCCCCATTAGTATTGTAAAGTAAGTAATTCCAGTCTGAAAAACCTAAATTTTTTAATCCTTATGTTCCTTTTCTATTTTTTTTTCTCCCCTTAATTCAGGTTCATGGTGATGCCTCTTTCTGTGGTCAAGGGATTGTTCCTGAAACATTCACGCTCTCTAATCTCCCACATTTCAGAATTGGTGGAAGCATTCACTTGATTGTCAATAACCAACTGGGCTACACCACCCCAGCAGAAAGAGGAAGGTCTTCTTTATACTGTAGTGATATTGGTATGTAACTCAGGGAGGAGCTGACTCTGCTGGGTCAGACAGAATTCTTAGAGAAACTTCTAGTTCTCTCGGAACAGTGGGCCTCACTGGTTATCCCATTTTAAATTTTGGATCAGATATGGTTCAATAATCACTAACAGCATTGCCAAATTAATGTTCCTTTTAAAGTCTCAGTGTGATGTTTAAGTCCAAGGAAGTAAGACGAGAATGGGCTGGGAGCATATAATCTGAAAGTGCTGGGACCAGCAGTTAGCGTAATGGCTATGTTGCTGGACTCCCATGTAGTCAACCATGGTTCGAGTCCTGGACCCGGTGGCTTAAACTCATACCAGGCACGTGTGTGTGCGTGCCCAAGATCCTGAGAAGAGAATGGAGGAGAAGGGATTGTGGTGTGGCCATCCCCCCTAGGGGGTGATTTCTCACGCTGTCTCTGTCTTTCTGGCAAGTGCACGCTCCCTATAGCAAAAACCTCTAAAAAAAAAATAAAAAAGTGCTTAAGTAACCTGTTAAATGATATGGCACAAATCATAGATGACATGATTAGTTCAACACTAGCATAATTATCTTTAGGATATTTGATCTTGCAGTGCCCAAGATCTTAGTCAAAAAGAATATATTCAATCACTAAACTTAGTGAAAAGTCCAATTAGAAGATATGAAGAATCAAAGTCAACTTCTTTTTTAATGAAGAACTATTTATTTAATTTTATTTATTATTATTTTTTTAATTTGTTATAGGACACATATAGTGACCAGAGACAGACAGACAGAGAGAGAGAGAGAATGACAAAGTAAACTGCTAGATTCATCCCCAGGGGGGATGGCCACACCGCAATCCTCTCTCCTCCATTCTCCTCTCGGGATCTTGGGCATGCACGCACATGCACCCAGCGTGAGTTTAAGCCACCGGATCCAGGACTCAAACCGCGGTCGACTACGTGGGAGTCTAGCAACATAGCCATTACGCTAAATGTTGGTCCCTGTTTTTTTTTTTTTTTAAAATAATTATTTAACTTACTTTCTCTCTCTCTCTCTTTATTTAAATTTGACAAGAGAGGGATAGAGCAAGAGAGAGGGAAAGTGAGAGAGCAAGCTGCCAGGTCCAGGACTCTAACTGTAGTCAGCCATGTGGAAGTCCAGTTCTCTTACCATCACGCCACCTGCTGGCCTCAAACATGAACATTTTCTATGCATTAGCTCTTTTTTTTTTTTTTTCTTTTTCTTTTTTTAAGGTTTTTGCCATAGGGCGAATACACTTGCCAGAGAGTCAGAGAGAGATAGTAAGAGGGAAAGTGAAAAGTCACCTACCAGGAGGATGGCCACGCCACAATCCGTTTTCCTCCATCCTCTTCCTGGAATTTTGGGCATGCATGCACATGTACGTGGTGTGAGTTTGAAGCCACTGGGTTCAGGACTCAAACTGTTGTCTGCTCTGTGAGAGTCAGCACTCCAACCATCATGCTACCTACTGCCCCCTGCATTAGCTAATTTAATCTCTGCTACATCATCATGAGTGGTAGGAGCTGTTATTCTAGTTTTACCTATAAAATTCTAACTTTACCAAGATTTATAACTTTACCAGAGTCACACAATAAGTCACAGTGCTGGGATTTGATAGCTGAACTCAAAGCTTGAGTTTATAACATCCAGGCCAAATTACCTCTGCGAATGTGTACTGTCTTCCCATGTAGGCTACAGAACCTAGCGGAGGACTGAATTAACTGGCCTGTTTCCTCTCTGTGTTCTCTGCTTCAGGGAAGCTTGTGGGCTGTGCCGTCATTCACGTCAATGGAGACAGGCCAGAAGAAGTGGTCCATGCCACACGACTGGCTTTCGAATACCAGCGCCAATTTCGCAAGGATGTGATTGTGGACTTGTTATGCTACAGGCAATGGGGCCACAATGAGCTAGATGAGCCTTTCTTCACCAACCCAGTCATGTACAAAATCATCAGGTATGGTTATAATTTTTATTTAAGACCCTCCATACTCTCCCTCATGGGAGAAATAATTTTTTTAAAGGAATTATTTTATGTATCTTTATTTTTTATTTATTTATTTTAATTTGACCAGAGAGGTACAGAGTGAAAGAGAGGAAAAGTGAGAATGCAAGCTGCCAGGTCTGGCTCTTGAACTGTGGTCGCCCATGTGGGAGTCCAGTGCCCTTAACCACCATGCTACCTGCCAGTCTCAACAGGGTTTTGTCATTCTGTAATCCTCCTTCCTCAGTTCTCCAGCTCCTCAGGATCTTGGGCACTGGTGTCTCTGCTTTGGTATATGTACCTCTCATATGTCCTGGCATATATATTCAGGCCAACCCAGAGATCCAAAACTGTGGTTGGCCATGTGGCTTCGAACGCTGCAGTCTGGTATACTATGGATTGTACCACCTTGGCTGGGCTAGTTCTTAGTAGACACTGTCCGGGAGGGTGACCAATTCCCCAGTTTGGCTAGGACATGAAAGTTTCAATGTTAAAACTGGGATAGTCCTGGGAAAACTGGGATGATCATGTTATGAATCTAAGGAGAGCTCCTTGTATTCCTTAAACTCTATATGTGTTGTCATTAAGTAGAGAATGGGCTGCTGCACAACATACTTAGCAGACGGGAAGGACGAAGTAGGACTCAGGGGAAACCTGGCCCAGAGCTACTTAGTATGATGTTGGCAGGATCAGGAATAGAACCTCCATGATTCACTTCTATAAACCATAGGTGTGGACCTGCTTGGTACCTTGACAAGAGATAAGACCAGGGATTTTACTGATTTATTTATATTATTGTAGAAGGTTTTATTTTTTTATTTATTTATTTTTTAAGAGATTTTTTCCTACAGGGGCTGTGTGCTCACCAGAGAGACAGAAAGAGACAGAGAGACAGAAAACGAGAAATCCCCCCTCTGGAGGGGGATGGCCATGCCATAATCCCTTCTCCTTTTTCCTTTTGGGATCTTGGGCACACACGCACACATGCTTAGCATGAATTTTAAGCCACCAGGTCTGGGACTTGAAGTCCAAGTGCCATAACTGTTACACCATCTGCTGGTCTCAAAATTGAGACAATTTATGTTTATATTTTACGTATTTATTTTTAAAGAATTACTTTATTTAACTTTATTTACTTATTTTATTTTAAATTTGAGCAGAAAGGGGCAGAGAAAGAGAGAGGGCAAGTGACAAAGCAAGCTATCAGGTTCAGGATTTGAACCACAGTCAGCCTTGTGGAAGTTCAGTGCTCTTAACTACCATGCCACCTGGGGGTCCCTATATTTTACATATTAAGTTTTTGAAATCTGGTATTTTTTTAATGTGTTAAATATTTATTTAATAAAATGTTTGATGTAATTATAATTACATAAGTATATTGATATAATTTCTTTCTTTTTTTTTTTTTTGGAGAGGTTTTTGCTATAGGGCGCGTACGCTCGCCAGACAGACAGAGAGAGAAAGAGAGATAGAAAGTGAGAAATCACCCCCTAGAGGAGATGGACACGCCGCAATCCCTTCTCCTCCATTCTCCTCTCGGGATCTTAGGCACGCATGCCCACACACCCCGCGTGAGTTTAAGCCACTGGGTCCGGGACTCGAACCGCAGTCGACTACGTGGGAGTCCAGCAACATAGCCATTACGCTAACTGCTGGTCCTGATATAATTTATTTCTTACTACTTGGACTCTTGTTCTTATATCTTATGAAGGAGTTTCCTCTCCTTCACTCTTACTGCAAAAATATGGAATGCTTCACAAATTTGCATGTCATCCTTGTGCAGGGGCCATGATAATATTCTCTATATCATTCCAATTTTAGTATATGTGCTTCAGCAAGCCCTCTGGTGTGTTTTTTATCCTGAAATATCATAGTCAGGAAAGCCACATGTCAAAAGCTCAATATCCACATATGGCTAGTGGCTTCCATACTGGATGGCTCAATTTTAAACAATCATTAAAACCTCTGATGTTGAGGAGACTCTGTCTTTCTGGCAAATTTCTCTCCGGTGAGTGCACATGCCCTATAGCAAAAATCTCTAAAAAAATATGTATGTACATCTCAAGAGCAGAGAGTGAGAAGGCTGTATCTGCTCCTGCTTGCATAGCCACTGCAGTACATTGAGCTCTACAGAGACAGCACTGGGGCAAGTGAGAGCCAGCTGGGCAATGGGCATCCCTGTGCCTCGGGGAGGAAAGATAACTCAACCTGGGCAAAGGAGACCCTAAGAGGGGCTGGCAAGTGGCATGGTGGTTAAGTACGCTGGACTCCCACATGGCCGACCGTGGTTCCAGTCTCAGACTGGGCGGCTTGCTTTCTCTTTTTCACTTTCTCTCTCTTACTCTGTACTTCTCTGATCAGTTACAAATAAATAAATAAATAAGCAAATCAGCAAATAAATTAATTAATTAAATGAAGTAATTGTTTTTTAAAAAAAGGCGATCCTAAGAAGCCAAGAGGCAAAATGTCATCATATGCATTTTTTGTACAAACTTGCCAAGAGGAGCACAAGAAGTGCCCTAATGCTTCTGTCAGGTTCTTAGAGTTTTGTAAGAAGAGCTCAGAGTGGTGGAAGACCATGTGTTCTAAAGAGAAAGGAAAGTTTAAAGATCTGGCAAAGGCAGACAGGGCCCATTATGAAAGAGATATGAAAACTATATCGCTCCTAAAAGAGAAATAAAAAAGAAATTCAAGGGAACCAGCAGTTAGAGTAATGACTATGTCGCTGGAGTCCCATGTAGTCGACCGCGGTTCGCGTCCCGGACCCAGTGGCTTAAAACTCATGCCAGGCGCGTGTGCATGCATGCCCAAGATCCTGAGAGGAGAATGGAGGAGAAGGGATTGCGGTGTGACCATCCTCCCTGGGGGGTGATTTCTCGCTTTCTGTCTCTATGTCTCTGTCTGTCTGTCTGGCGAGCGCATGCGCCCTATAGCGAAAACCTCTCCAAAAAAAAAAACAAAATTCAAGGATCCTAGTGCACCCAAGAGGGCTCCTTTGGCCTTTTTCTTGTTCTGTTCTAAATATCACCCAAAAATCAAAGGAGAACATCCTGGCCTATCCATTGGTGATGTTGCAAAGAAACTGGGAGAGAAGTGAAATGACAGTGCTGAAGATGATAAACAGCCTTAGGAAAAGAAGGCTGCTAAGCTGAAGGAAAAATATGAAAAGGATATGGCTACATATTGAGCTAAAGGACAACCTGATGCTGTGAAAAAAGGGCTTGTTGAGGTTGAAAAGAGCAAGATGAAGGAGGAGGAGAAAGACAAGCAAATAGACCCTCCTCCACACTTTATTTCTCAAAATATAAATTAAAGCAGAAGAATAAACTTAGTAACATAGGCCTTTTTGGTCATTGGTAGCAGAATGAGCACTGCTCTACCAAGATCAAGTTTGAGTTCTCCATTTAGTTATGGACCTCAGTAGCAACTGAATGACTTGATGTGCCTCATGAACCTATTATAAAAATCCTCACTGCTGGGGCCGGCAAGTGGCATAGTGGTCAAGGCACTAGACTTCCACATGGGTGACTGTGGTTAGAGTCCCGGACCCAGTGACTTAAAACTCAAGCTGGGTGTGTGTACACGCATGTCCAAATCCCAAGAGGAGCAAGGAGGAGAAGGGATTGCAATGTGGACATCTCCCCAGGGGATGGTTTCTTATTTTTCTTCTCTCATTCTCTTTCTCTCCAGCAAATGCTTGTGCCCTATGGCAAGGCGTGGCCATCCCTCCTGGAGGGTGATTTCTCACTTTCCTTCACTCTGTCTCTCTCTGGTGAGCACACTCTCCCTATGACAATAACCTAAAAAATGAAAAATATAAAATTAAAGCAATTTGTAGGTCTAGAAGTGCAGAGACTAGGGGCTAGCAGAGGAAGCTGGATCCAACATGGCCAACTAGGATTTGAGTCCAAGCTCTTTTGGATTTGTGGTAAGTGAAGATACACCAGGATCCTTACACAATGGAAAATCCTAAGGAAAAAGGATATTGCGTGACCAGGTTCTCCCCAACCCCATGCATGCATAGTCCCTTCTGGCGTAAAAACAATCAGCCAACCAACCAACCGAAAAAACCCAAAACATATCAGCAACTTTGAGTTCTATACTTGTTGGAATAAAGCGGGTGGTCAGTGGGCAGGCAATATGGGTCAATGTTGTAAATAACTGTCCAAAATTTACCAATTTATATAAACCTTTATTAATGATTTCTACCTGGTTGTAGTCAAAAGCTTATAAAGATAAATTTGCTTTCTTTTGCTTGCATAGAAGAGGTTGTTACTCATGAGTGCTCTTAATTAATTAATTATAATTATATGTATTTATTTTATTAGCTTACTGAAGTGAAAATCACTTGAAGTTGATTTTTTTCTTTTTAAAGTTTTCGCCATAGGCTGTATGTATTCACTGGAGAGAGACAGAGAGACTAAGAGAGATAGTGAGATGGAAAGTGTGAAGTCACCCTACTAGGGGGGATGGCGACGCTGCGCCCTTTTCTCCTCCATTCTTCTCCTGGAACTTCAGGCATACATATGCACGTGCCCAGCATGATTTTCAAACCATCGAGACTAGGACTCAAACCACTGCTGACCACGTGGGAGGCCAGTGCTTTAACCACTACAACACTTGCTGGCCCCCAAATTAACTATTTTATTTATTTATTTATATATATATATATATTTTTTGGAGAGATTTTCGCTATAGGGTGCGTGCGCTCGCCAGACACACAGACTTGGGCACACACACACACGCACCTGGCGTGAGTTTTAAGCCACTGGGTCCGGGACGCGAACTGCGGTCGACTACATGGGAGTCCAGCGACATAGCCATTATGCTAACTGCTGGTTCCCAAATTAACTATTTTAAAGTAAACAATTCAGTAGCATTCTTTTCTTTTTAAAGAATTATTTTTTTTTAACTTTATGTAGTTAATTAATTTATTTTAACTTGACCAGAGAGAGAGAGAGAAATTGAGAGAGAAAGTGAGAAAGCAAGCCGCCAGGTCCAGGACTCAAATCATAGTCAGTCATGTGGGAGTCCAACTCCCTTACCCACTATGCTGCTGGCCCCTCAGTAGCGTTTATTAAATTCACAATCTCGTGCAACCACCACCTCATATCTAGTTCCAAAACGTTTTCTAAGTGCCTTATTATAACAATGACTCTGTACAAGGACCTTGACAGTGACTTTATCTGTCTCACTTAGATTTTTACAGGTGAGATTGATTTTTTTCCTCTTCTTTCTTGACTAGAGCCCGCAAGAGTATCCCAGACACATATGCAGAGCATCTTATTGCCAATGGACTCATGACCCAGGAGGAGGTATCTGAAATTAAAGCCTCCTACTATGCCAAGTTAAATGACCATTTAACTAACATGGCCCAGTACAGCCCCCCTGCCACTAATCTGCAAGCTCATTGGCAGGGCCTGGTTCAGCCAGAAGCACGCATCACCACCTGGAACACAGGCGTGCCCCTTGACCTCCTGCGGTTTGTTGGTGTAAAGTCTGTGGAAGTGCCAAAGGATCTCCAGATGCATAGTCACTTGCTAAAGATGTATGTTCAGGTGGGGAGCATTGACATTACCTGTTACTGTTTTGTTTGTTTGTTTGTTTGTTTGTTTTTTCCTTGCTCAGCAAAGGAATTGATATTGGGTCTGGTCTTTTTGATTGGCTAATTCATTTTTTTAAAAAAACAATGATCTATTTATTTAATTACATTTATTTATTTTTTAGAGAGATTTTTGCTATAGAATGTGTACGCTCGCTGGAGAGACAGAGAGAGACAGAGAGATAGAAAGTGAGAAGTCACCTCCCAGTGGGGATGGCTACACTGCAATCCTTTCTCCATTCTCCTCTTGGGATTTTGGGTATGTACGTACATGCGTACATTCCATTGTGTTTAAGGTGCTGGGTTCAGACTCAAACTGCAGTCAACTATGTGGGAATCCAGTAATGTAACCATTATGCCATCTGCTGGTCCCATTATTATTATTTTTTAATTTGACCAAAGACAGAGAAAGAGAGAAAGGGAAAGTGAGAAAGCAAGCTGCCAGCCTCTTGGTTAATTCATTTGACAAATATTTATTGTGTGTTATTTAGCTCTAGGAACTGATCCTAGTGTTGTTTTGGTACTGATAGTCAATTACTTCCGATTTTTCTTTACTTTTTTTTCTTCCTGGTCTTTGTTTTGTGGGGAGTAGATTGGGGAAGGTTTGTTATAGGTGTGTTTGCCAGAGAGAGACAGAGAGAGGAAAAGTGAGAAATCACCCCCCTGCTCCCCCCCACCTGGGGTGATGCTGTAATCCCTTTCCTTCATTCTCCTCTCTGGATTTTGGGCATACATGCACATGTACCCAGTGCAATTTTCAAGTCACGAGGTCTTGAACTCAGTCGTGGTCATTCATGTGGGAATCCAGTGCCTTACCCACCATGCAACTTGCTGGCCCCTCTTTCATGTCTTTGTTTATACACATTTATACATTGCTGTTTATGCACTATATGCATAGTATAAAAATACAGAAATACGGGAATGTCTACTTTGATTATTGAGCAGAAAACACTTTAATTCTTTCACGTGGCTTAAATTTTCAAAAAACAGTAAAATACAAATGAACTCACTTACCCTGAAGATAACTACTTAGGCCCTTGAATGTGCTGAGGTTTTACATATTGTCTTATGTTAACTATACAGTGATAAAGTGCACTGGCTTGCCTAGGACTCAGGGATTTTTTGAGACATAGGCTTTTAGCACTAAAACCAGGAGGGCTTGAGACCAGCAGATGGCATAATGGTTACGGACTCCCATGTGGTACACTGCGGTGCAAGTCCCAGACCTGGGTGGTTTAAAACTCACATCAGGCACGTGTTTGTGTGTGCCCAAAATCCCGAGAGGAGAATAGAGAAGGGATTGCAGTGTGGCCATCTCCCTGGAGGGTGATTTCTCGCTTTCTGTCTCCCTGTCTCTGTCTCTCCAGCAAGTGCACATGCTCTATAGCAAAAATCTCTCAAAAAAGAAAAACCAGAAGGGCAAAGAATTAAAGGTGTTTATCCTTCTTAAGACTGGATGAAGGAACTTTGCCCTCTGAATTATTTTAAAACAAGTTTTTGATATAGATATAGGGAGAGACAAATTATGTTCTTACAACATAGCTAAAGAAATAGGATATTATTAGGGCCAGCAGGTGGTGTGGTTAAAGGTGCTAGACTCTCACATGGCCGAATGTGGTGTGAGTCTCGGACCTGGTGGTTTGCTTTATCATTTTTCCTCTCACTGTCTCTCTCTGGTCAAATTGGAAAATAATAATAATAAAGATAAATAAAATAATTCTTAAAAAAAGAGAAACAAAATATTATAAATTTAGCCTCCCTCTGACTCCTCCCTAATTCCACTTCTCATACTCTTCAGAGGTAACCACTAATCTGTAGTGTATGATTGTTTTGCCTGTTTATTTTTTTCAGAGAATTATTTATTCAATTTTATTTATCATCATCATTATTGTTATTGTTATTTTTTTCACCTGCTACAGGGCACATGTTCTCACCAGAGAGAGACACAGAGAGAAAATGAGAACGCAAACTTTCAGGTCTGGGACTCAAGCCACAGTTGGCCATGTGGGAGTCAGCACCTCAACCAACATGGTACTTGCTGTCCCTAATGTTTTGCTTTTTTTTTTTTTTCTTTTCCTTTTTTCGGAGAGATTTTTTGCTATAGGGCATGTGCACTCACCAGAAAGAGAGAGACAGAGAAACAGAAAGTGAGAAATCATCCCCTAGGGGGGATGGCCACGCCACAATCCCTTCTCCTCCATTCTCCTCTTGGGATCTTGGGCACGCACACACACACGCCCGGTGTGAGTTTAAGCCACCGGGTCTGGGACTCGAACCACGGTCGACTACTTGGGAGTCCAGCGACAGCCATTACGCTAACTTCTGGTCCCTGTTTTGCTTGTGTTAAAAACTGTATGTAATTGCTAGGACCAGCAGATGGCATAATGGTTACATCACTAGACTCCCATTTAGTCAATGTGTGATTCAGGTACCAGATCCAGCAGCTTAAAACTCATGCCAGGCATGTATGTGCATGCCCAAAGTCCCAAAAGGAGAATGGAGGAGAAGGGATTGTGGCGTGGCCATCCTCCCTGGGAAGTGATTTTATGCTTTCTGTCTCTGTCTCTCCAGTGAGCACACATGCCCTATAGCAAAAACCTCTCTTTAAAAAAACTGCATGTAATTGCTTTCATACTCTAATGTATCTGTCTGCACTCTATTTTTATTCAACATTGTGTTTTTGATACTTATCTTTGTTGCATTACATTTTTAAAAAAAGAATTATTTATTTAATTTTGTTTATCCATTCTTTTTTATTTTATTTTGTTTATTTATTTTTTTTGACAAGTTTTTGCTATAGGGCATGTGTACCCGCCAGGAAGACAGAGAGAGAGACAGAAAGTGAGAAATCACCCCTCGGTGGGATGGCCACGCCACAATCCCTTCTCCTCCATTATTTTCTCAGGATCTCGGGCATGCAGGTACACATGCTTGGCATGAGTTTAAGCCACTGGGTCCAGGATTCGAACCGCGATTGACTACATGGGAGTCCAGCAACATAGCCATTACGCCAGCTGCTGGTCCCGTTGTATTACATTTTCCAAACTGAGTGTAAATAAAAGGCTATAGACTCTTACAATTTTTTTCTCCCCTTCAATTTTACAGTCCAGAATGGAGAGAGTGATGGATGGAACAAAGCTAGACTGGGCCACAGCAGAAGCTCTTGCCTTGGGCTCCTTGCTTGCACAAGGTAAGAAATTTCCGTTTAGTTATATAGCTGGTAGAAAATGCTTTAAATGATGTTTGTTACATGTGATCTCTGCAGTATGTTAAATGACAACAACCTCTTGTCATTATTTTTCTTTTTTCTTCGTTTTTAATTTCCTGGAGGGTGTGTGCACTTGCTGAAGAGATATGGGACTGGGGGATGATAAAGTCTCCCTCCTCCCCCATGGGACAGTCATACTCCAATCCTTTCTCCTCTATTTCTCCCTCCTTTCAGGATTTTGGGCACACACACACACATGTCCAGTGAGACCCTCAAGCTACTAGGTTGAGGACTCAAATTGTATGACTGACCATGTGGGATCCAATGGCCTTAACTACCAGGTCACAGGCTGGCCCTCCTGTCATTTTCATTGCTAGAGAGGTTCTAAAACATGCTATCTTTACCTTTTTAAAGAATTATTTATTTTATTTTATTATTATTGTTGTTGTTGTTTTACATTTTGCTATAGGATATGCATGCTCACCAGAGAGAGAATAGACAGAGAGAGAGAGAAAGAAAGAGAAAGTGAGAAAGCAAGCTGCCAAGTCTGGGACTCAAACCATAGTCAGCTGTGTGGGTGTCCAGTGCCTTAATTACCACTCCGCCTGCTGGCTGTATGCTGACTTTTCTTACCTAACAATATTACTGAGTTATATAATAGCATAAGTCAAATTGACAATCTTCATTAAAGTATTCACTATAGAGCAGTTATGCCTGGGAAACAAAAGGCTGAAACTTTCCCTAAAAGTTGTAGGGCACTTAATGGCTCTCTCTCTCTCTCTCTCTTTCTCTCTCTCTCTTTTTTTTTTTTTTTTTTTTAAAGTTTTTGCTTTAGGGGGG